GTAAATGTATTTAATTATCTGAGAATCAGTTACAGGGATTGAGTAGAATGTGATTGACGGAAAACCGTAGAGGGGAAAGCCCTGATGTCTGAAGCCTCCCTTTCTTTATGAATTCTGTATTGAGCATTTGTGGGTGCTTGGACCCCAAGGGCAAGTGGAAGTGAGAAGAAATACCCATGGCCTAACAAGTGAGTTTTGATTGGCGTTCAGAGAAGTCTACTGTGTAATGCTTTTACCAATTTTCTTCTCAGGCAGGATCTGGTGATTTTGAAGAGAAACCTGAACAGCGAAGATGAAAGCCCCTGCTTCCTCTACCTGAGGTGTGACCCTAACGGAGGTGAAGAAATCGTTTCTGTTGGTATTCTCAGTTCTGCAAGAAATATGGAAGTATACTTAGGAGAGGAGTACTGTGGAACCAGTTGGGGCAAGAATGTTGGTACTGTCCTGGATGACAGGTTCGTGACTTGTACGAGTCACAGTGTTTTTCTGAACCAGTGTTTTTATTTTCCCACAGCCTTTGTGGTGTTTATTGATTACCTGACATGGATGCCATTCGTTAGGGGAGAGAAGATAAAAACCAGTAGACATAAAAGGGTTAGACCATTAAGGGATCTCATAGGCTGTCTAGATCAGCCTTCTCATTTTTATGAATGTGGAGATTGAGCTAATAAAGGGGAGGTGAGTTGGTAGAAGGTCCTGCTAGTTATAAACGTATACAGACAATAGTGCAGTCCTTCTTGCTGCTTCTTGGCTTGCTCCATAAGCACAATGGCCTGTTTTCCAAATTAATTTGGCAGTCAGTCTGGAGCTTTGAACGCATTTTTTGTGAGGAAGCCCATTACAAATGGTGCACAAACTGCCGGGTGGCTCACACAGTAATTCTAGCACTCTGGGATGCCAAGGCGAGAGGATTGCTTGAGCTCAGAAGTTCCAGACCAACCTGAGCAAGAGCAATACCTCGTTTCGACAAAAAATAGAAAAAATTAGCCTGGCTTGGCAGCATGCGCCTGTACTCCCAGCTACCCAGGAGGCTGAGGCAAGAGGATTGCTTGAGCCCAGGAGTTTGAAGTTGCAGTGAGCTATGATGATGCCACTGCCCTCTACCAGGGCAACAAAGCAAGACTGTCTCAAAAAAAAAAAAAAAGAATGGTGCACAAACCCATATCAGCCTATTTAATCTGTGATTCAGTCTCTTACAGATTCTTAATTTCTCTAATCGCTTATAGGAAGATTCTACACTAATCTCTCCTATATAAATCAGAATACGAACTATTTTATGTATTGTGCATGTTGGAATAGTAATACATGATGCGGTGTTTGTAACTGGGTCATTTGAGCCAAGATCCCAATTCTTTGTCCCTTACCAGACAGACTAAATCTCAGGATTTAAATAATGACCTGGGGACAGTTTATTTTGATTTTTATTTTTTTCCCAAAACAGTATGGTTTGTTGCAGACAGTTTATTTTTAAATGCTAGTATTAACAATGATAATCTATGAAAGTGAAAATAATTTTACTTTTATTTTTAGTGAAAACAAAATTATTTTCTACAAAAAATATTTAAAATTGGAGTCCTCGACTCATGCATGTAAAATAAAGGTAAGTTATCACTAATTTAAATTAACAAATTTGACAGTTGCAAATGTTTATGTATAATACATACTTATTTACTGTAGGTTTATTAATACAATTAGTCCAACTTGGTCCCTGCTGATCTTTATATAAAACTATGGTGCCAAGGAAACCACATTTTGGTTCTGGGCCCATTATATTAAGAAAGACAAAAATTAGGGAGAGGTTACAGAGAAGAACACTTAAAAGTTGAAGGGATTTGGACTGGTGTCTTGAATATGAAAAATATTGTTGAGGCGAACTTTAGTGATATCATCAGAGTCAGCCCGGAATATTAATTCAGCTTTGTTGCTGACTGGCTGAGTGACCTTGGGCAAATCTTTTCATTTCTTTGGACCTACCTCTTGGTTAAATTAGGGAACTAAAGAAAATAAAGCATTGTATTCTTTTTGTCTCCACATTACTTTATACAAGGTTATAAGACTTATTTTAAGAATAAGGAAAAAATTAGTGATTCTTAAGCAGGCAACTAGCAAACTTACCGAACGGATTGTTCCAAGACATTGTTTTAGGTAGTGTACATTAATAGCTCCCTCCTTGAATAAATTACCTGACTCATACCTGTAATCCCAGCGATTTGGGAGGCTGAGGTGGGAGGGTCGCTTGAGCCCAGGAGTTCAAGGCTATAGTGAGCTGTGATCATGCTCTCCAGCCTGGGCAACAGAGCAAGACCCTGTCTCTAAAAAAAAAAGTGTTTTAAATAAAATGATTTATTCAACAAATATTTGAGTGCCTTCTGACACCAGATTACTAGACATTTAGGAATCAACAGTAATAAAATAAATTGAAATTATTGCCTTTGCGTTGCTTATATTCTAGTGGAAAGTGACAGATAATAAGCACGCTCAATAAATAAAATTGTACTAAATTTGGTGGTGAGAAAGGCCATGAGAATTAAGAAGCAGAAAGGGCATAATACAGAGGTCAAGAGGTTAGATGTGTAAATTTAATGGGGTATTTCCTTAGTTGAGGACAGTCTTGTCTTTGGTGTCGTCGGTCTGGTTTGACCTGTGTATTTGTGTTACATAGTGTACAGAGTGGTTTTCTGTAACTGTTCTAGGGAATATGTGAGTGCAAAGGGTCATTTAATTTAGGGAGGTTCCCAGCCTGCTAAAGCTTTTCTGGGACAATGGTAAATGAAAGTGAAAAAAATAGTAACTGATGCATATTTTTGGATATTTATTGTTAGGTACTGGAAATTTTAACACATAATCACAACAACCACGTGGAACCATTTTTATTATCCCCTCATTTTACTCCCAACTCAGGTTTTGGCATTTGCCCAGGATCATACAGGCTGTAAGCAGCAGAATCATAATTGAACCCCAGTCTGTCTGATTCTAAGTCCTGTTCCTTTCCGCTTTGCTACTGTGTTGTCAGTACCACACATGAAATGTCTTTTGGTTCAGAAACATGGATGAACTGAGGTAGCACAAAGCATTGGAAAGGGCACTCCTGTAAAAGCTGGAAGAGCTAGGTTCCTGAGCCTTTTACTTACTGGGTAATCCTTCGACAAGTTAGAAAATTAACCCTGACCTCTTCTTTAATGTGTACATCAGCAGGTTATATGGCACTATCTTGGCTTTCCCTTGTAATTCTAAATGGCTGACTTATATTAAGTATTTTAGTAAACACTTTGAATGGACTTGGGAACACTCATATTTTATACTAAAGAGCATTACAGCAAACTTCAGTATGTTAAAGTCTCAGATTGGTATAGTTTTATTTTTAGCTCCTTAAGTAAAACTTTAACCTCCTTTTGTGTATCTAGTGTATTTTTTTAAGTTTGAAAATGACATTGTCTTATATAAATTATTCTACTGAATTTCATAATAAATTGAAAGTTCTGACCATTACTATTTTAGGGAAAACTTAAAAATGAAAATATATTTAAAGTGTATATTTGCTTTCCTGAATACTCTTGCTAATTTAATAAAAAGAAGTGATCTTAAATAGTGAATATTCTTTAATGTCATTATTTATTTTCCTGAACTTTTGTATTGTAATAGTTGCTGTCCTTTGGTGAAAAGGAGTATGTGTTCATCAGTAAAGTTGTGGTACACATGAGACCGATTTCAGCCAATTCTTCAACAAGCTCTCCAGCTCTGGGATCAAGGATAGACCTAGACAGGGTTCAAGCCATTATGGAGTCCATGGGGTCAAAGTTATCACCTGGAGCTCAGAAACTGATGAATATGGTTAGGTTTCAACAGCTGGTAAGTAGAAATGGATTTCTTCCCAGATACCTTTAAAAACTTGAAAATGATGGCTTTTTATAAAGACATGTAATGACTTAATTTTTTTCTTTTTATTATTGACTTAGCTGTTATCTTTATTTTTATAAAAATAGTATTTGATAGACTTAGCCTCTAACAAAATGTTTTGACTACAGATCGTCACACTTTTTCATGAATTATTCACTCATTCATTCAGCAAGTATTAAGTACCTTCACAGTGAACGAGGTTTGAACACTTTTGAGGTTGCAATGATGATTAGTTAGTCTATAGCCTGTTTTTAAAGATTTTTATAGTCTAGAGCATGTAAGTAGTGAGTGATGAGGTAGATCAGGCAAGGCTACTAAAGGAAGCGGCAGTTTATCTAGACCTTTGAAGAAGTGTGGGATTAGGCATGTAAATCTGGAGGGAGGCCATTTCAGACAAAGAAAATGAGGCGGATAAAATCTTAAATGCTAGAGGAACTGGATATAGCTGGGAAATGAATAGTAGTTCATTTCTGTGGAGCAAAGAAGTAACAGGGAAGTTTATAGTAGTTTTGAGCTAGAACATAGAGAGCTTTTGAATGATATTTTCCAGTTGTGAATGTTTTTGACCTATGTTTCAAGAAATTTTAATCCACTGTTATGTGTGATGAAGCTACAAAAAGGAGACAAGCTACATGTTATTTCTCTCGTCCAGATGAAAGTTAACGAGGGTGTAAGGTTGGACATAGTAACATAATGCTGGATTGTGAGATGCTAAGACAATGGATCCCTTGGGACTTGACAACTAAGAGATAAACAGAATAATACGTAAACAGTGAAAGTAGCAAAGAGAGCTCTGATGAAAATACGATACAGATTTGGAGGGAAAATATACTTCAAACGGGGAGGCTGGGGAAGATCTCATTGAGAATATAACATTTATTCTGTTTATCTCTTTAAAATGTAAGCTTCATGCAAATGGGGACCTGGTCTTGTTTATGGCTCTGAATATGTATACAATAAATTTTTCCTTTGGATTATCAACTCAGTACTCCTTGGAGATTTTCAGGGAGTTCATTTGAATAGTGATGAGACAGGAGGGATTAGGTAGCAAATAGGTATTTGGAATGTGTAGGTACCCAGAGTGAAGTGGGTTTGTTTCAAGAAGGATAGAGACAAGGAGCCTCCCTATATCAGAATCCCTTGGCATGTTTATGAAATGCAGATTCCTCGTTCTCACCAGCGACCTCAATGGTGTGATCCAGGAATCAACATTTTAAGAGCATCCCCAGGTGAGTCTTATGTATAGTATATTTTATGATTATAAACTCTATGCTTCTAGAGTTTTCTATTTATATAGAAACACAAGTCCTTCCACCCTACACGTTAGGTTGTAACCTGTCCCCCTTACCCCCCACACACTAAATCATTACATCTGGAGGCATTTGAGGGACACCCTGGGGAACAATGAATGTTAAATCTTTTAAACATGCTAATAAATGACTTCCTTCCTAGTAAAAAAAAAAAAAAAAAGTCCTTGTTTATGGGATTAACAAACGAGGCATCTTTGTATTTCTCCCTGGAAAATGTTGCATAAGCTATGTAACTATCTGAGCATAAAGTAGGAATATTTCATGACCAAAACAACTCCTCTGTGTAAGTG